GTTGGCCTGGTTCTCCTTTAGGACCAGGAATTCCAGGAAGGCCGTTGAGACCTGAAAGAATGTGATTCAGCAAAGCAACGTGGCTATTCTGCATCTACTGACCAGGAAGTCCCTTCTCTCCTGGTATTCCAGGAATTCCAGGTTGACCTGGTGGGCCAGGTAGTCCCGCTTCTCCCTTGCGTCCGCTCACTCCAGGAAGTCCAGGTGGACCCACATCGCCAGGTCTTCCAGGGAAACCGGCTTCACCCTTAGCTCCTGGTAGTCCAGGTGCTCCAGGTGCACCAGGGGCTCCTGGTTGCACGATGCTAGGGGCGGCAACGGGTCCCGGTGGTCCTTGTAGACCAGGAAGTCCAGGTTGTCCAGATGGACCCATGTCTCCTTTCTGTCCTGGAAGACCAGGTAGACCGGGTTGGCCGTATCCTGGTTCGCCCTTTAGACCTGGTAGTCCAGGTAATCCATCCTTTCCTGGTTTACCAGGTAGTCCCGGAAGGCCTGGTTCACCCTAAAGTAAGTCTTTGAATTCGAAGGAAGTTCGAAGAAAAGAGAAATTCTACCTTTTCTCCAGGCATTCCCGGCAGACCAGGTGCTCCAAGAAGTCCTGGCGTTCCAGGTAATCCATCCTTGCCTGGCTGGCCGGGGAATCCTGCTTCTCCTTTCATTCCCGGATAACCGGGTGGTCCAGGTCTAAGTACAAGTTGTGTCGGTTCTCCCTTTTGTCCAGGAAGTCCCGGAAGACCGTCAAGACCTGGAGGACCAGGTGCACCAGGACGCCCAGGTGGGCCTGGAAGTCCGTCATCTCCAGGATCTCCTGTAGGTCCAGGCATGCCAGGCAGGCCGCGATCTCCTTGCGGGCCTGGTTGTCCAGGATATCCAGGATTTCCTTTCTCTCCTTTCGTTCCAGGTGAGCAAATTGAGCAGGTTCCTCCTCTGTCTCCTTTCTGTCCAGGAACACCAGGCAATCCAGGAACTCCATCTCGTCCATCGTAACCTTTTGGACCTGGCGGGCCGCGAGGTCCAGGTGGGCCAGGCAAACCGTTCAGCGAGTCTCCAGGAGGACCTGAACACAATTACTTACGCCTGGAGATTGAAAGCAAACACATTTATCCTCTTACCTCGTACTCCAGGCAATCCTTGTTCTCCTTTTCTTCCAGGCGCTCCGTCAAGTCCAGGACGCCCGTCTTTACCGGGTAGGCCGGGGAAGCTTTGTCCTGGGATACCACGCGCTCCAGGTTCTCCTTTGGGTCCAGGAGCTCCAATCATTCCGGGAGGGCCAGTAACACCAGGGGCACCAGGTATTCCACTCTCTCCCTTTTCACCTTTTGGACCGGGAAGACCTTCGAGGCCAGGAAGACCGGGAGCTCCAGGACCTCCAGTTTGACCAGGTGGGCCAGCCGGTCCGGGGGGACCTGGGTATCCGTCAGCTCCTGGTGGGCCGGGGTTTCCTGGACGACCAGGCAATCCAGGTGGACCTGGTGGTCCATCGGTGTATGATC